AAAAAAAAAAAAAAAAAAAAAAACGAAAAAGATAAAAATAAAAAATAAAAAATAAAAAACAAAAAGGGGGAGTAAGCCAAGGCCTGCCTCCAAAGGCGCGGTTATCTATGGCATGACAATGGATGGGCCCGGATCCGGTAATCAGCTGGAACCGAGGCGCGGTTTGTGTTTTTCTGCAGGAATCGGGACGAGAACCACTGTGGGTACCGGAGAGACTGACACGGGCGACAAAGCCCTCGACTAAAGATCAGACCTGCCCTACCGGAGATCCATCACAGACCAACCAACAAGATGAATAAAAATAGCGGTAGCCCAAAATGGACAAAAAGATCCTCAGGCATATGCATGGCTCGCTCGCCTAGCCTATGACCGAGTCTAGGGACGGTGAGCTTCCCACACTCCTCCTCTAAAAAATTATGATATAGCAGGGTAGATGAGTCAATGATGGGTAAGAGCATGCCTCCCCAGCATGACTCAACCTAAGACAGGCCCTACCCCATACCGCACGAAAGCCGCTGAATTACTAGGTTCCGCCCGAACCAAATGTCGCCCCGGGGGGATCATGCGGAGCGACATGAGTGTATGCCTGTGTGCATCCAGGTTCCGTCCGGTTCCTTCCTGGCCCTGGAAAAAAGACGAGGGCCTCGGGGCCTCGGCAGACTCGGGGACGGCCGACCCGGGCCGACGCCGAGAGCCCTTGGTGGGCCTCCTATCAGGGCATAGGCCTCTACACTCAATTCAGGACGGGCTGCGATGCGTAGACTTATTTAAAATAAAAAAGGGGGAGATGTTGGGAGCCACCACATTGCCGAGCCGCCGCATATAGCGATCATGCGGCCTGTGGTAAAGAGTAAAGCCTGAGTTAGATTACCCCTCCCATCGAGCACGTTAGTTTCCTGCTTACCGCGTAAACAACCCGCTCAATAATATGTTAGCCAATCAGCTTGCCTTGCTTACTTTAACATGATTGGACACTGTATCCGTATATATACTGGTGCCACCCCTGGGGGGAAGTAGAAGCCTGAAAGGAGCCGCGGAGAGCGGACCGGTAGAGGCTTCGGAGCGAAGCCCGAAAGGAGCCGCGGAGAGCGGACCGGTAGAGGCTTCGGAGCGAAGCCCAAAAGGAGCCGCGGAGAGCGGACCGGTAGAGGCTTCAGAGCGAAGCCCGGAAGGAGCCACGGAGAGCGGACCGGTAGAGGCTTCGGAGCGAAGCACGGAAGGAGCCGCGGGGAGCGGACCAGAGGAGGCTTCGGCTGGGAGCGATCCCAGGGCAGGCTGTACGGAGAGAAAATAAAAGAAAAGGTTGTCCACTGCCAGACTTTGTCGTGTGTCCTTCCTGCCGGCCGGGAGCGACATCGACAGGGGGCTCCCGGGAGTCGAGCCCTCTCATCCCCCGCTGGAAGATCTCCCTGGTGTCCTTACTGACTCAGCTGTGTCGTGGGCATCCTGTGCTCAGAGAGGCTCTCCCAAAGCTGCCTGTTGAGTGTTCTTAATTTTTTTTAAAGCAGGTTTTTTCCCTAAGCCTGGAAACGCTCCCTGTGGAGCAATGTGGAGCATCTCACAGATCCACGAGACAGGAGCCAGATGGTATTTGGTCTCACAAAGGAAAGGGCTTGTCTGACTCTGGAGACCTGGAGAGGCTCAGCAACCTTCCTCCCAGGCTCTGCTGCAGGCTGTGGTGGAGTCTGCCCCCCTGTCTTGCCATGGGGTCACCCCTGGCGCCCTCCCTGTTCCTCATTCTGACTACTTCCTCATGCCTTTGGCTACTCCTGGCCTGCCCGGCTTCAGCTAAGTCACCAGGACAAAGGGGCAGTCAAAAGACCAGGATGAAAAGCCAGAGTGAAACATGACACCACGTCATGGCAATGTAAGAAGATTCACAAACTGTCCTCACTGCCTTGGAGGATAGGCTGGGGGGCTCCTCTCAGAGCTGAAGGCCTGGGTCACTGGCCAGGCTGATGTGGCCAGCAAGAGCCCGAAGCTCGAGGCCCTGCACTGTAGAAAGGGCTTACGTGGGACGCAGCCACAAAACTGGTCCAGCACAATCTGCAGCCTGGGCCCTGACCGCCACCTCTCCCCATGGCAGCTGGGCCTTTGCCAGGCTCCAGGATGAGCTTGGAAGGTAGAGCTGGCATCTCGGGACCACTGGCCTGGGTTACAGTTGAGTGTGGTGTGAATTTTCCACATCTGGGACCCTGTCCCTTGTCCCTGGCTGTAAAAAAACCTGGTCCACAGGAGATGCTACATAAATGCCAGAAATTCTATGCAGGAGCCATAGTTGTATGTTTTAAGGGAAATAAATGAAAAGTGGGCCTTAAAAGACTTATCACCTCTAAGTCACTCCCAGAGCCCTTTCCATGCTCAGTAACTCCGCGGTCAACACTTTCTTCCTGATCTGCGGTATCCTCAAGTTCTTTGACTCAGCCTGGAGGAGGGGCCGATGCAGGGTTGGACACAAAGACTGTGAGGAGACCCTGTCCCATAAAATCACAGGAGTCTACACTTACGCTGTGAGCTGAAACGAATGCGAAACCTAATAGGGTTTGGCCACTGGGCGGAATTACACTATTTTTAGATGAACTATTTTAATAGAGTACCCACCTGTTTTGCATTCATATTTTAAGGCTCCTCCGAATCTTCCATTTGTCAACATTCTGTTTCGTTTAACTCCGAGCCGCTGTGAGAGGTGTGATGTGGACCTGCCTCCTCCTTCTGTGGGGCCAAGTGCTGACCTGAAGCAACCCTCTTGCTGTTGATGTACTTTGAGTGCCCTTGTGGCTTGGTAATCACCTCTGCCAGACTTCCTGTTTCGCTAAGCACAAGATTCGAATTACAGTGTGCATTCTGAAGTTCAACAAATGCTTTCTGAATGAATATATAAATTGATAAAAATGAGGATCAACTGTAGTTTAGGCCTCCACAACACTGTCTCCCCTCTCTGATCTCCTCTCCCCTTGCAGAGACCTTGTCCCTTGGACGCAGTGTCCTCCCACTGCCCCTGGGAGGCCTCCTTTGACCCCCACCTAGGTCTGCCCTCCAAGTTCCTATTCGTAAAGGGGACTCCAGTAGAAAGAAATGTGGAACCCAAAAGGAAGAAGAAAGGAATCCTCTTGTGGCAGACTGCCAGACATTTGCAGGCTGGTCAGGAGACAATAATTTTGGAGGGGCAAATGGAAAGGATTTCAGCCCTGAGTGGCTGACTCTGGGAGTCTGAAACCCAAACCCCGGTCAGTGGAAGCAGTGACTCTTGTTCTGGATAAGCAAAGGTGAAAGTATGTTTCCAGAAGGGGAAATCTGAGACTCAGTTTTCATCAGTGGACGCTTTCTAAAAGGCAAGCCCGATTCCGTTGCTACTCTGCTGCAAATATTAAACTACGTGACGTTCTGAATTTCCCTGTCCATCTCCGTAGAACCTCTCCCGGATAGCAGCCCCCGCCTCACCCCATGTTTTTGACAGCAGCAAGAAAATATTTTAATAGTGTTATGGAAAGTGCAGCAGGGGGCTGGGGATTTAGCTCAGCAGCATAAGCACCTGCCTTGCAAGCAGGCAGTCATGAGTTTGATCTCTGGTACCGATAAAAAATTTTAAAAAAAGTATTAAAGCAGGGTCCACATTTCTTTAGTCCCATCTGATCTTCATTTCTTTTCTTCTTTTTTTTTTTTTTTTTGGTCTTTTTGAGACAAGTCTCACTGTGCAGTTCAGGCTGGCCTTGCACTCACTGTGTAGCCCAGGCTGCTCTCAGACTTGCAGTGATGCTCCTGCTTCAGCCTCCCGAGTGCCGAGATTACAGGTGTGTGCCACCACGCCCAGCTGAGCTTCATTTCCTGACACTCACCTTCTAACCACATCATACAATTTGAGGACTCTGGATGTACCTTCCCCTCCCCTCGATCTGTGAGTTCCTGCTTGTTCTGTTCTTTGTTTGAAATCCCCTCTTCTTGTTCCAGGAAGGTCTGCGTGTTGCCGCTCCCCTTCTCTCCCCAGTGTGTGTCTCACTTACAGCCCTGACCTGACTATCACGGTCCTGATAGTCTTGTTGTGGTCAAGGCAAGTCAAGGATCTTTTTATGCCTTTCATCTCAGAACATGGGGCATTGGCACATGCTTGCTGATGGGATGGATGAAAGCAGTTGTTCTCATCCCTAAATCAGCATCTAATAACCTCTAAGATGCAGCGCTGGAAAGGAGGACTCAATGAGCCAGAAATCCCGGAGCTCAATGTAGGTAACCAGAAAAAGCGCTGTTCACCTCCTCCGCCAGGGGCTCTCTTCTCTCAGGCAGTGATGTCTCACTCCCTCACTTTCTTCAGCAAAGCCTTTCCTTGCCTGACCACTGCATCGAAATGGTGGCCACCTAGCCCGGCATCCCCGTCCTCCTCTGACTTCTTTGTCCCTTTCCTTTGGCTTTGCTGCCACCTGATATTCTCTATATTCCTTTGTCTATTTGTGTGTTGTGTGCTTGTTTGTGACACCTACAATGTAAGCTGTGTGGTCAGGCATCTTTCTGTTTTGTCCTCTGCATCCCTAGTGCCTGGTCCAGTGAGTGGCACATAGTATGTTCCCATGGGCTGAGTGAATGAATGCGTGTAGAGAACGGTACATGTTCCTGGAGGATGATACTGTTTTGTTTTGCTTCCCAGGATTTGTTCTTAACAGGATAGAACTCCTAATAGCTCAAAGGCAAGAACTAGAGCCCACCGAGGTGGTGGTTTAGAGTTCTGGATAAGAACAGCCTCTGTCAGCCTCAGCAATAGCTATCAAAGTTCCCACCTTGTGCCTGCAATACTAGCCTTGTATGTGAAGAAACAAGATCCAAGCAAGCAGTAAAAATGAATCCTAATAAATCATACAGAGAGAGAGAGAGAGAGAGAGAGAGAGAGAGAGAGAGACTCGACCATTCATGCCAGTCTTTTGATGCTATCCCACCTTCGATGTTTGCTCTAAATTCTATAAAACCGACTACACTGAGCTACAAGAAAAGGCAAATATCAAGAGACGAGCTGAAAATGAAGCTTTTATTTTAAGAAGCACACCCAAGGGTTATGACTGGCTTCTGAAGATTCGTTCCCGTAGCACAGGAGATTCAAGCAGGCGATTTGTGGGCCTGGGTCTTGGTTTGTACCCCAACTGACTCCAGAGCGCAGGGCCAGCCTCTTCCCCTGGCCACAGCTCTGCCCACAGAACAGCGAGGGAGTTACTGCAATGAATTCCAAGGTCTCCTCCATTCCTGGTGTTCTGTGACTCTGTATCCTGATGAGGGTTTCAATCTGTCCTTCTTAATGAAGAGATTCAATTATCTAGGACATTAATTTCGTGGAGTGTTCCGGTTAATTGGATCTTCAATAAAACAGATCCCCCAATTTTGTTTATTACATTAAAAGGGGTGTTTTTGCATTAATTTACACCTGTAAGGGGGATAAAAACATTTAACTGTAACACCTAGAAATCTTGCTAAAAGATAATCCTTCATAAAGAGATTCCTAAACATTAACTGTGACTTGTAGTTTTTTAAAAGTGAGCTTTTTACATCACAGGCATATGCACATGGCAACACAGATTTTGGGAAATAATCTTTAACTTTTCCATACAATGCAGTATGCTGTTTTCTATTCCAAAATATTATTCAACTCTCTAGTTGGTTTAATGGCCTGCAGCAGACAGCACGGTCTGATGTTGCCACATGAAGCTCTGTGAGGGTCAGCAAGAAAATGCCCAGGATGTCCAAGTGGTCATTCTGATAGCTGTCCTCCGGCTCTGATTCTGTGGGCACTGTGGTGACTTTATGCCTTTGATGCTACTGGGATGAGATTTAAGCAGGGCAGTGGAAGGTAAAGAGCACTAGGCTATGAGGCAGAATTTCTGACGTCTGGACTGGCTTCTGTGCCAGCTGTGAGACCTCGGGTAACCCCTTAGCTTTCCTGAGTCTTGGCTACTTCCTCTGAGAAGGGCTACCCTGTCTACCTCAAGGGGAGGCTGTGAAAACTGAAAGCAACAAATGTGGGGAAAAGCCTAAAGTGTGATATAAATAAAATGAACTATTAATGATAGCCAAACATTTAGACCTTAGGAGAGGATTTTAAGTGTACCCGAAATAAACGAAAGCTTTATTTAATGACTTATTTATTACAGATGCAGCTGGGTGCTTTGAGAAAGATTTGAGGAGCTGTGTACCAAGGTTAAGGGGGTCTTCTTCACTGGTTTCTGCTTTGGGCTGGAGATGGGATGTGGAGACTTGAGCACTCTTGTGCAAACTCTATGACTGAGCTCTACCCTCAAACCCCTTCTGTGTGCCTGAGAGAAACTGGGCATATGGTTCATAGACTGGCACATCAAAGCCCCTTGGGGTGGGCACCTTGGTCCTTGCACTGAAGAAGGGAACAGTTTTGATAGGGATTATTTGGAATTGTCATCCTGTTAGGATCAAAATCCTTGGCCAGAGATGGCTGTCTTCATGAGGAGCTGTCAGAACTTCTGTTGAGTCAAATTAACACGATCCACATGGATTTCTTCCTTTTAATTGGTAACATAGAAGAGACGAGCGATGTAGAATTCTAGATTTTTTTTTAAAAAAAGCCCCATAAGTTACATTTATTATGATCCAGCAATTCCATTACTGGGCATATATCCAAAGAAATTAAATCAGTATGTGGAAGAGATGTCTGTACTACTAGCACAATAGCCAAGACGCACAATCAATGTAAATGTTCATCCATAGATGAATGGATATGGGAAATGTGGTACACATATAAAAGGGAACATTTTGGGGCTGGGGATTTAGCTCAGCGGCATAAGCGCCTGCCTTGGAAGCAGGCAGTTGTGAGTTCGATCCCCGGTATCGGTAAAAAGGAAAAAGACAAAAAAAAAAGGAACATTTTTCAGCCACAAAGTAAAAGAAATTTTGTCATCTAAAGCAACATGGGATGAATTTGGAGGAATTATGTTAAATAAAATAAGTCTGGCACAGAAAAATAACACGTGATCCTTTCTTGTATGGGGAGAACTAGAAAAGTTGGTCTCACAGAAGCAGAGAGAATGGGGTTACCAGGGGTTGGGGTAAGGAGCATAGAAAACATTGGCCAAAAGACACAAAGTTTCATTTCAGTAGGAAGAAAAACTTCAAGGGATATATTGTACAACAAGTTGATTAAAGTTAATGACACCTATATTGGTTCTTGCCATTGCTAGTAACAGAGTATGATATTCGTGAAAATTGCTAAGAAATTAGATTTTAAGTGATCTCAACACACACACAAATGACACATGAGGCAATCTATGTTAATCATCTTCACTGAGCCATTCCACAGGCACACATATTTCAAAACAACATGCTGCACATGATACTTCTGTCAAATAAAGTAAAAAATGAAATACACAAATTCAGGAGAGACACAATTATGTCTTTCAATTGAACAACTGGGCAAATGTCTTACATTCTACAAAGTTTTTAATATAAAAACTTTAATTATGTGTTAAATTGGGAATAGTGACAGCTGCCTGTGGGTTCCTAAACTGACCTCTGTGAAAATTCCCAGTGCTTACTGGGAGTAAACGTGGTGGGGTGTGGCACTGGCTTTTATTTTCCAGGTTCTGTAACTTTTGCATTAGACAATAATAAAGAAAACTCAGAAAATATCAAACTTAGATTTAAACCTTGGAATTGATTTGACCTTTTGTTTCTATGAAAAGAAGACAGACCTGAGAATATAATAATTTACCTGAGACACCTCATTTGTACAAAACTGAGACTAGACTCTGGGTCCTCCAGCACTTAATTCTCAGAGTTTTTTCTACTACTAAGTCTCCTTCTAGAAGTTAAGACTGGAGAGGCCAGTCTGTCACACACCAAAAAGCCTGACTGCAATCCAACAATGAGAAAGCATAGCCAATCTTGATTCCAAGTATTCAGACTCAAAGGCCAGCACCCTTTCTATTAATTCTTAGCTTTTAGTCTTTTTTTTCCGGTACCAGGGATCAAACTCATGACCATGCGCTTGCGAGGCATGTGCTTATGCTGCTGAGCTAAATCCCCAGCCCCAATTCTTAGCTTCTAAAAATTTTTTGTTCTTCCCAGCTGGAGTTTGAGGCAGGGAGAGAGTCTTTCTTTTCTTCAACTCATCTCTTCCTCTATGCTGCTTAACATACTTTTGGATATATTCTTGTCTTTTGATTGAAGAAGGAAAAGAAGAGAAGGCAAAAAAGGAAGAAATATAATAATTTGCTGTTGAGTGGGAGGTGGGAGCTAAAACTCACAAAGGAAGTCCCGCTTTTCCTTCCAGCTCCCACACTATCCATCTGTCGGGAAGATGACCTGTCCTGAGCCGGGTGCTCAAAGCCATCATGCATTCTGCATGGAGCTTGGTAGATTCACCAGGCACTGTGGTGGGATTGTTAGAGCCCAGCATGTGAGAAAATGTGGGTGGGGTAGGGGGACCAAAGTACAATGGATGAGGTCTCTCACTCTCTCTGAGCATTAGAAATTGCCTTTTCTGTCCTTGGAACTGTCTCAGTCTGTGCCCACATATTGAGTTTAGGCAAGGAGACAGAGAAAAAAAAAATAGCAAACTCACCTCCAGTTGGAGGTACTTTGTATTCTAGTCTTTCTACCAGTTCCCTGATACTATTTACTTTTCAGAGTTGGTAAATGCTTGCTTCAATATTCAGAGGGAGACATGGAGTCATCAAGAGATGGAGGACTTTTCATGAATGGGCTGGGGCTGTGAGGTAGGAGCTTACATTGTCAGGCACTAAATTTCTCACACTCTTCTAGTTCCAGGCAAAGCGGGTTTGGCAACCCAACAGCAGTCTTATAAAGCAGAGACAAACACACAGCAGGGCATGGGACCCACGGAAGGGAACCTGAGTGTGTCACCAAGATGGTCTGCCCCAAGAAGCATGCCCAAGTTGAGCAGTTCTTAAAACTGTGGCCATGTGACCCACAAACGCTTGTTGTCCTCAGCTGGAGAGGTGGGGAGAGGTGGGCCACCGCTCTGTCCTGGCAGATGAAACACCACAAAGGGTATTTGATATCGGAAATGGTTTTAAAGCCCTTCTGGCTTTTAAAAGAATGGTTTCAGGATATTCCTCGGGAGATTCTGCTATTTCTCAGGGCCCTTTGCTTAAGGCGTTTTTCTACCTCCCTTTACCAAGCATGTACCTAGTTGTCTCTGACAATATAGAAATCCTTTTTGGAATTTTGTTTAGGTCTTTGTCCTTCCATGCATACATGGGCTTGAATAGGCAGAAATAACCTTCCTGGGGTGACAAGTGGCACTCTGTGGGATGCACTGCATGGAAACCCTTGTCTGGGAGGCCTTGGCAGCCCTGAGTGAGAGCAGAGTTAAAGCTACAGGGTGTGTGTGTACCAAGCAAGACCCTCCAGCTGACATCTGAGCTGTGAGGGGGTGGAGATGATCCTCGGTACAATATGGTGACCTCTGATCTCCTCCCTGCTTATGAGTTTGGTTTGGTTTTGGTTTTACTCTGGTGTTTGTACTGACATAAATTTAAAGATGGACAATTATTCTTCTAAGACATTTCCCAAGAGGATGACCTTAGCTTCAGCTTTCTGCAATTTAACTGGGCAAACCTGTGGTTTGTTCATTTTCTTTACAGACACGGAAGAGCAGTTCCAACAAGCTTGGGCAAAAAGAAGCCAAAGGTTGAGCTGGAAGGGCGAGATGCCGCAGAGCCCGGGAACCAGAGGTAGGGACTGCGGTGCTGCAGTTTCCTGTCCCGCTCATGTTTTTGTTCTTTGTTCCTGTGCCTCAGCTTCACCCCAGTCACGGCTGCCAGCTTCCTCCTACGGTGGTAAATGGGGTTGCTGCAGCCCTGAGGAGTGGCATCTCGGTCTTTACACTGGAACGATACTAACCCCTTCCTTGCTTTCAGGATGAAAAAGACAGGCAAGAACTTCGATTCTTCCCTGTCCCCTGGACAAGCCCACTGATGGTGGTGGTGGTGGGGTTCAGGAAGAGCTAGGCAGCTTCTGGGGTAGATGTGCAGGTGGAGAAGGGCATTTACTCAGTGTGTGCATGTGTGTGTGTGTGTGTGCGTTGCTAAGAATCAAACCCAGTGTTCATGCATGCTAGGCATGTAGTCTACTGGTACACTATGTCCCCAATCCATCCAACATATTTTTCATGAGCAAAAAGATGCTGTGAGAGGGTCACAGTTCTCACTGATGAGGGAGAGGTGACCCAGAGATTGGTGGATGAAGGGAAAAGGCAGAATGTGTGCAGTGCTCTGCAAAGTACCGGCAGCGGGAAGAACTGAGGCCCCTGTGCCAGGAAGCAAACTAACTGCTCCTTCAGAAGGCGGTTCTGCTAGGAAAAAATGCCAGTTGAAGTAAACAGTGTATTTTATAATGTGGTTGCTTTACCTCTTAATTCTAGCTCCCTAGTTTTTTATATCATGGTAATGGTTTGGGCGCCGTCAGCAGATCTGTAGACCACACTTTGAGTAACTCTGCCCCAGGGGAATTTTTGCATATTCTGTGCAGGAGACATGTACGAGAACGCTCATAAGGCTGGGGTATGGCTCAATGGCACAAGCTTGAGGTCCTGAGTTGGATTCCTGGTACTAAAAAACAAACAAACAACAAAAAAAAACAACGCTCATAATAGTTAATTTACAATGGTTAGAAAGAAATGATTCAGGTGTCCATAATAACACAATAATCAAGGTGTAATCGTACAGTATATAGTAGAGAAAGTGAATAAATTACAGCTGAACATACCAATGTACACAATTTTTAAAAATACCCTTGAGCAAAGAGGACAAATTGACAAGGCTACAATTAATATGGTTTCATCACCACTAAATAATATACCCATTATGGGTCTCTAACACACAGATTAGAGCTGTAAGGGCAAGCAAAGGAATAAATGACAACAGGGTCAGGTTGATGGCTTGCCTTGGGGTGGGAAGGGACAGTGAAGCAAGAGAAGATCTAGCATGGAGGGAGCTTCAAGGAATCCAGAATATTCCATTCTCAGCTTAACCTGGGTGGTTTGCACAAGGCATTCAAGTACATACCGTAGTCGATGGTCTACTATATATTTTTGTATGATTTATTTCACAAGGAAATAAAACTTGAAAATGTGTTTACCTGGAGCTGACGCTCCTCCAGACCCTGCACAGTGAGGAGTTTGGTGTGGCTGACTAGCCTGGCCTCAAAGGAATTAGAACCCTTCCTAACACGGCGCATAGTGGTCAGTGAAAGGGGGCCAGCAGCCCCTCTGCCACCTCGCTCTCGGGCACCAGTGTGAACCTCCTGTCTGTGCGGCCTTGGGGCCATAGCTCACCTGCTGTTTGCCTCTGCCGTCCTGCAGCACAGTGCTCAGGATTTAGCCTGCTGCTCTGTGTTGCCACCACAGGCTCCATTTCTTCCAGCTTCTCACGGCTACCTTGTGCGCAGGAAGCAATAATACTCTTTAAGTGTTTGATCCCCAAGCACATTTGGAGCTAAAAATGTGAAAGCACTTTGGACAGCGTGGCAATGTCACTCCAGGGTTTGGTTGTTCACCATTTGTTGACCTTTTTAGGGAAAGTTTATCTTTTGCCTGCTGAGGTTTACTTTAAATTCCAACTGGTTTGCAAATACATTCTTTGGTGACAGCTGTAGTTTGAAATGTTTGACCTCACTTTGCTCTGGATAAATAGTCTACCAAGTCTTTTTTAACCCCTTGTGTTAGATGGATTTTCTTGCCCCAAATTTGGTGTCTACTACCTTTACAGCTATAAAAACTCAGAGTCAGAAAGGACCTCGTATGTGTGTCCCAAATCTAATTCCTCACCCAGTAAAAGGATTATTCTGGCATGTGTCTAATAACTAACTTCTGAGAGTTTGCTTTTTAAGGACATTGATGTAGAGACAATGTGTACCGTAGTTTATAAACTCTATAAAAATTTTCACAAGTTTTCACTTTGTCTTGGAGAATCAGAAATTAGTGAGAGCCGTTCAAGTTTGCGAACTGGATTAAAATGAACACAGGCTCTTGTAAAACTGGTTCTGGAGGTACAGGAGGCTTTACATGGTCAAAGACAATTTTTATCTACTTAATATAATCGTATTCTGGATTAGGAGAAGCAGAAGGAGTTGGACACGTCCACATACGTGGAAATATAAATAGGACTTTGGCCATTGTTTAAGGTCTGTGCATAATTTCTTCTGTCCTCTTGTTTCTGCTTTCTTTCCTCCTTTTAAGTACTGAAATGAAGACACACAAGTGCTCTGCAGAAGGAACAGGGCAGCCTATAAGGTCCCAGCCTCTACTCTGTTTTTCCTAACTATTGGTCATTGGCTGCCTTCGCCATTAGGCTGGCTCAGCCTAGTTTACAAAGTCCCTGTGAGATCATGTGATGTGGGTAACTGTTTGCCTTTTCCATCTACTGCCCACCTTGGGTTCTGCTCTCAGAAGCAAGTTGTGACCCCACGTTTTGGGCTTGAGCCATGCTGGTATCTTAGCGGCACAGTTCACTTAGGGTGAGGAAAGGAAGTCATCTGGAAAAGCTATTGGAGAAGCAGGGTTGTTCTAACTCTAACCCCGTCTCTCCTCCAAGCTGGGGATAGATTCCAAGATAAAGTGGGTGATTTTCTTCCTTTTACTTGAGAGCAGGAAACTCAAGCACGGGTGAGAGGGAACAGTGAAAGGTGCCAATCTAGCCTGGACTCACAGTGTGAAAGATCCAGTGCGAACACAAAGTTCACCCGAGATTTAGTAAAGAATGTGTTAAGGCTTGGATGAGGCAGGGCCTGATGGCAGGACATGCATAGAACTAGAGAACTGAACCCTTCACACCAGGACAAGTCAGGCCTCAGAGGTCTGCTTCCAGAGGCACTGAGTGGAGGACAGGGGCACTGTCTTCACGCCCCAAGCAGCGACGCATCCCTGAACGCGATGATAGCAGGGAACACGACTCCACATTGACCCCTACACCCCAAACATGCTTGGAACCTGAGTGGGGCTGGAAAGCAGGAGCCAGTGGCATTCTGGACACACCTGTCATCTTCACCTCATTTGTGACAGCAGCCCAGTGAGAGCTGCAAACACTCCTGGTATGGGAATAACTGAGGGCTTTCTCAAGACACTTTGAAAAATTCCAACCCTACCCTTTTAACTTTGTAGAACATTTTTGGGTCTGTAATTATCTTGTTTTTCTTCCAAGGGTCAGAAAAAGTCAGAAAAAAAATTAAGAGCCAGAGTAAATACTTTTGGTTTTGCGGGCTATAAAGTCTCTGTTACAATTGTTCGCCTTTGCCATTACAGCTTGGAAGTGGCCACTGATAATGGAGAAACAAGTGACAATGGATGAATTCTATTGCAATTTTATTTATGGATACCATAATCAGAATTTTTTATAGTTTTTTTTTTTTTTTTGTACTGGGGATTGAACTCATGATCTAACTTGCAAAGTAGGCGCTTATGCCACTGAGCTAAATCCCCAGCCCCTACTGTTTTTTTTTTTTTGTTACAAAAATGTCCCTCATTTGACGTTTTTCATGAATTCAAAAGTATTTTTTTAACTTGCAGGATATAAAGACAGTCCGTGATTCATAATTTACTGATCTCTGTGGGGGCAGGAAAGGTTCATCACCATTTCCCTAGTGTCCATCCCAAGGAATGTCATATTTATTGAGTAGGAGCAGGTTAGACATTTGTTGGAAGAATGATATTTATTTTATCTATAAGGAGACTGTAGCTCAGGAGGTGGATCAACTCTCTTAAATATGGGGCTAGAATTCCATATTTGTGTGGTAGTTGCAAAGTTGGGTATTGGTCATTCGTCCAACACCAAAGCCTGCTCTCCTTCCAAATCACACCTTCAGCCTTCCTCCCAGATAATATTGCCATATGAAAGCTCACAGAGTTTGGAACAGAGAACTTCACATGAGTCAGTGGGGGCAGACTCTGTAGTGTCACTTTTCAACATGCTCAAGCTGCAGAAACGTGACTTTAATTCCTCAGGTGTTTTCTTTATCTGCCAGGTGGGGAGCAGACCATTGCTCATCTATCCTGAAAGATACCTATGAAGAATAAAGTTAGGGGCTTTGACAATATTAAACAGCCATCATGGGGGTTGGGTTATCTGTATAATCTTCAACATAGCCTCTCTCTGTGACTTGAAATTGAGACACCTGAAAAGAGAACAAATTGGTGAAAAGAAAAAAGAAGTATATCTCTAGGGAATGGGAAGGAGCTTACAGGAAAACTAGAAACTACAGAGATGCTGGAGATACGGAGTATTATACATACAAAAGACTGGAGCAGGGGCTGGGGATTTAGCTCAGCGGCATAAGCGCCTGGCTTGCAAGCACACAGTCGTGAGTTTGATCCCCGGTACCGATAAAAAAAAAAAATACTGATGCATTCTGGAAAGCTGACCCAAACAGCCATCATGGGGGTTGGGTTATCTGTATAATCTTCAACACAGCCTCTCTCAGGGAGGCCTCCTCAGGGAGGAGAATCTATGCCAACTAACATGAGGTAAACCCAGAAGGGCTGGCAGCTCAAGGTAGAAACAATGAACTACACCAGCAACATTAGCCACAAGAAAAGTCCACAGCTATTAGGAGCTACAAAAAACAGGTGGGGTTTTCTCCAAAAGTTATTTTTTCTATAAGAAGAAATCCAGTGTAGCACCTGACATATTTGTGAGGGTTTAAGCAGTCACCATTTTGGGAAGAGTTAACTGTTTTAGACCGAGCCACAGAATGACTGTATTTCAGGGTTTCTGCTGTCACCCTACCACAATTACTGGGAAGGAGACAGCCACAGAAACCAGTTGCAGACAGGGTGTAGGCTAGATATAGACCCTCCTGAGAAGTCTAAGCTCATGCCAGAAAGGACATGGGGGTGTCATACTCCATAGTGACAAGCCAGCCTGGTTGTATTGGCTTTCAGAAGGGGCTGGGTCTAAAAGTGATGGCATTAAGCCCAGTGTTTTTTTTTTTGGACCCCTGGTAGACTCCCTATATCCAGCATGGAGCTTAGCGATCTGTTTGTTCCCCATCTACCAACTTTAGCAGGGATCTACATTGGCTTGGCCAGATGCCATAGCTTGGGGTAGACACACAGAGTGGCCTCTGGGGGGGGCACTTAACAGGCCATAACATTAGGTGGAGAAAGCTGTGACTTGGGGTGCACAGAAGAACACAGAAACTGGGAGCTTCCAGAGTGACTATAGCTCCAGGGTGGAAACCATTGAGTGACTATACCCAGCAGGAAAAGCAGTGTCTTGATTACTTTTCTTTCTCATTGTTAAGACAAAACACCTGACACCTAAAGTTAGGGAAGGGAAGGTTTATTTCTTACAGATTGGAGGTTTCAGTTCATACTCAGTTGGCTCCAAGTCAAAACGATATGGATGAGGGGCAGCAGTTCACGGCTGCTGCAAACAGCAAGCACAAACTATAAGAAAGAGAGACATGCCTTTCTCCCAACATTACACTGTATGCTGGCTCCACCCCTGGGCAGGTGTAGCACTCACACTACCAATCTGAGCGCTAGACAACAAACCAATCACAAACACTAGATTCAGCCGCTTCCATGACTACATGAGGCTTGGGGGGCCACCTAGATGCAAACCATAGCAAGCAAGAAAGATTTTAGCATTCACACACAAAAATGTGAGTGAGAATAAAGATGTGCCATCTATAAGAAGCTAATAATCTCAATGAATATAAACATCACATGCCATAAACATGAGCTAAAAGTATTAATAACAACAAGAATGAAAAAGGGAAAGAATTTATTAAAGAAGGAGGAAGGGAGGAAGGAAAGAAGGGAAGGCTGAGACTACAGCCCTTCCAGGGGGAGAACCAGCAGCAGTTCCTGAGACCCACACCATGTTGGAACTTAGGACCCTGGGAAGCCAAGCAAGCACCTCCCCTCCCTGGTAATCGGTGGCAGTGTGGCAGACTGCAGCCCTTCCAGGGGAGAACCAGCAGTGTCTCCTGAGATCCACGCCATGTTGGAACTTAGACACTGGGAAGCCAAGCAAGCACTTCCCCTCCCTGGTAAGCAGTGGCAGTGTGGCAGATTGCAGCCCTTCCAGGGGGAGACCCAGCAGCAGCTCCTGAGATCCGCGCCATGTTGGAACTTAGGACTCTGTGAAACCAAACAACCAGCCTGCCTCCCTGCTAAGCAATAGTGAACGTACTGATGCATGGCCTAGAGTCAAACATCCCACTTCCCTTACCCTCCTTCTCCTGTTTCCCCCCCCCCCCCGTTAGCAAATGGGAACCAGAAATCTGAGCATCTCCTGGGAGGTTGACCATAGCAAATAAGGGGGACTTCCTTCTACCATCTCTTTGAAGGCAAATATTTTTATTACTGTTTTGCTCTTTTCTGATTAATGGTACTGCTCTATTCAATATTCTGTTTTGATAGGTTCTATAGTGTTCTATATTTCATCTCAATTTGATATACGTGATGGAAAGAGCAACTATTATAAAGATAACAAAATATACTGTGATACCTATTACTGTTATCCTGATAAC